ATGGAATCCGCGATTGAGCATCCATGTCGACAGCTCCGCGGCGAATGTGGTGGCGTCGCGGTTCGGCTTGGGAAAGATCCGCCACCTCAAAGTGCGGCTTTCGCGGTTGCAGGAAACTGTAAAAAGAATGCGCCTCGCCGTCGACAAGCATGTGTGGCGCGTCAACCCAGCGCGCGTGCTCGCGAATTCGCTCTCGATCTTGAATGTGACAACGCCCGTGGAGGCCGTCGGCTTCGGGGCCCAGCGGTGGGGCGAGCGAGGGGTGAGACCCCAGAAGTGGGCCGCCATGGAGGATCCTGAAGACGTCGATGGTGAACGCGGAAAGTTTCTCCAGTGAGCCGACAGGCTGGCGCCTCACTGGGGAGGATTGTCAGGGGCGAGCGCTATATCTTAGCGCGGCCTTCAGCATGGGTTCCCGCATTGTCCATTTCACTGTCGTTGCTGCTGCTTTGGCTCAAGTCGCGAGGGAATTCAATCACATTCAAATTCAAAACAATGCGAAACAATGCGAAGCAATGGGCTTCAATGCGAAGCAAACTTTGCACATATATGCAAAGAGGCATTGCGAAGCAATGTGGCGCAATGCGAATAGATCAATGCATTGCAAAGCACGACGTAGCACGGCATAGCAATGCAATCCAATGCGAAGCAAGGCCGGCCCAGACGACGGGCGGCGACGACGGCGACGACATCGCCGCCTTTGAGGGGCTCTGAGGGCCATCTTGGGGTGAGCAGTTCGAAATTGTAGTTCGTTTTCGACCTTTTGGGCCACTCCTGGGGCACCCGTGGGCCTTTCCAGGCCGTCTTGTGGGCCCCTGGGGCCGTCTTGGGACCTTCCAGGTCGTCTTGGGGATTTCTCATGGGCCTCATAGTCCGTCTTGGGACGATCTTTGAGGCTCCTTTGGCCGTGTTGGACGCTGCCGACACGAAAAAGGCGAGTGTGCCACACATGCAGGTGTTCCTAAGGGGCTGGGACGCTTTTTCCTTGTTGGGGCTGTCTCGGCGGTCCTCTGGAAGCACTCTTCGGCCGTCTTGGGGCCTCGTGGGCCGTCTCGAAGCAATCTTGGACCGTCGTGGGGCTACCCTCGGCCGTCTCGATACTCTTTTGGACCGTCTTGGCGTTGTTTTCGGGCCATCTTGAGCCGTCCTGGGGATCTTTGGAGGCTCCAGTGGCCCAGGGGGCGCGTTGACGAGCTCGTGCTCCCATCTGGGGGGATGGGGGGTGGCCTTCGAATCGGATTGAGAGGGCCCGGCGGCCGATGCCGCCGACCCTGAAGCACATCGACGACCAGTAGGAGGAGAATGAGGACGAGGAGGAGGAAGAGGAGAAGGAGGAGGGGGAGGAGGAGGAGGAGGAGGAGGAGGAGGAGGAGGAGGAGGAGGAGGCGGACGATGAGGAGGACGAGGAGGAAGAGGATTGGGAGGCAGAGGATGAGGAGAAGACGGAGCAGGAGGAGGAGGATGAGGAGGAGGTGGATGGGGAAGGCCGAGGAGGAGGAAACCGAGGGGCAGCTGGAGGGTTGGGGGGAGAAGGGGAACATGTTGCCGAGGAGGAGAACACCGAGGGCCGCCAGAGGATTGGGAGGAATATGAGGAGGCCGAGGAGGAGGATGACGATCAGGGGGAAGGAGGAGGAGGAGGAGGAGAGGAGGAGGAGGAGGAGGAGGAGGAGGAGGAGGAGGAGGAGGAGGAGGAGGAGGAGGATAAGGAGGATAAGGAGGAGGAGGAGGAGGAGGAGAGGAGGAGGAGGAGGAGGAGGGGGGGAGAAGGAGGAGGAGGAGGAAGATGAGGAGGAGGAGGAGGATAAGGAGGAAGAGGGGGAGGAGGAGGAGGAGGAGGAGGAGGAGGAGGAGGAGGAGGAGGAGGAGGAAGAGGAGGAGGAGGAGGAGGATGATGAGGAGGAGGAGGAGCAGGAGGAGGAGGAGGAGAGGAGGAGGAAGATGAGGAGGAGGAGGAGGAGGAGGAGGAGGAATCTATTGTTGGTTTACACAGCCTTGAGGTGGCTGGACCCTATCAGAGGGGGGCATCATTTGTCCGCCTGCTGGGCGGAGTGAAGACAGCACAGCAGAGCAGAGAAGTAGATATAGAGCGCAGCTCGCGCGGAGGACGGCAGGAGGAGGAGGAGGAGGAGGAGGAATACTAATAGTATTATTAATAATATTCATAATACTAATAATACTAATAATAATGATAATACTTTTAATACTACTACTACTACTACTACTACTACTACTACTACTACTACTACTACTAATAATCATCATCATCATACTGCGCAGACGGATCATACTAATAAGAACAGTGTGCAGAAGTATATTCATAATTATCCCAGTGCGACCCTACCTAGGAGTTGGAGCCTCTAGGAAAGCAACAGTAGTAGGAGCGGTAAACGCCGTCCTATTAGATGCCGTGCTGCGCTATGCTATGCTATGCTCTGCTATGCTCTGCTATGCTCTGCTATGCTATGCTATGCTGTGCTATGCTATGCTGCGCAATGCTATGCAGGGCTATGCTAGGCTAGGCTATGCTATGCTATGCTGCGCTATGCTATGCTGCGCTATGCTATGCTATGCTATGCTATGCTATGCTCTGCTCTGCTATGCTATGCTTTTGCTTTGCCTTCGCTGTTGCCTTCACTTTTGACTTTGCTTTTGCTTTTGCTTTTGCTTGGCACCCAGGAAGCGCAACTGGGGGAACCGCCCAGGGCGGGTAGCACTGCCCGGCCCCTTTAAGCCAGCTATGCTATGCTACGCTATGCTATGCTATGCTGTGCTCTGCTATGCTAAAGCTCAGCGAAGCTAAGATGAGGGTAAGCTAAGCTAAGATAAATCTGAGCTAAGATGAAGCTAAGCTAAGCTAAGATGAAATACGCTAAGCTAAGATGAGATAAGCAACGCTAAGCTAAGGGGACGTAACTGGGGGAACCGCGGGGCGGACACTGGGGGAACCGCCCAGGGCGGTGTGCACTGCCCAGCCCCTTTAAGAAAGAGAGTAAGAACCCTCTGGGCAGAGCCTAGGTAGGGAATCAGAGTAAGAGTAATAAGCATACTAATACTAATACGAACATGATACTACTACTACTACTACTACTACTACTACTACTACTACTACTACTACTACTACTACTACTACTACTACTACTGATAATTATTCGAATAATACTAGTACTATCAACGCTACTAATAAGCATACTAATACTAATACTACTACTGCCAATATTAATAACACTTATATTAATTCACATAAGAATAGCAAGCTTACTACGGACACGAGTGATACTAATACCCATAATAAACATATTAATAATACTAATATTAAAAAACGATTAATACGAATACTAAACATACTGATAATACGAAGAAGAAGAAGAGGAGGATGATGATGATGAGGAGGAGGAGGAGGAGGATGATGAAGAGTAGAAGGTGGAGGACAAGGAGGAGGATGGGGGGGATGGGGGAGAACGGGGACGATGAGGAGGAGAATGATGATGATGAGGAAGAGGAGTGGAAGGAAGAGGAGGAGGGGGGTTGATTGTGAGGAGGAGGAGGAGGTGGTTGTGGTGGTTGTCGTGGACGAGAAGGAGGAGGTGCACGATCAGGAGGACGGACGGGTTTGAGGAAGAGAAGAGGAGGAGGAGGAGGAGGAGGAGGAGGAGGAGGAGGAGGAGGAGGAGGAGGAGGAGGAGGAGGAGGAGGAGGAGGAGAGGAGGAGGAGGAGGAGGAGGAGGAGGAGGAGGAGGAGGCGGAGGAGGAGGAGGAGGAGAGGAGGAGGAGGAGGAGGAGGGGGGAGGAGGAGGAGGAGGAGGAGGAGGAGGAGGAGGAGGAGGAGGAGGAGGAGGAGGAGAGGGAGGAGAGGGAGGAGAGGGAGAGAGAGGAGGAGAGGAGGAGGAGGCGGAGGAGGAGAGGAGGAGGAGGAGGAGGAGGAGGAGGAGGAGGAGAGAGGAAGGAGGAGGAGGAGGAGGAGGAGGAGGGGAGGAGGAGGAGGAGGAGGAGGAGGAGGAGGAGGAGGAGGAGGAGAGAGGAGGAGGAGGAGGAGGAGGAGGAGGAGGAGGAGGAGGAGGAGGGAGGAGGAGGAGGAGGAGGAGGAGGAGGAGGGAGGGGAGGAGGAGGAGGAGGAGGAGGAGGGAGGAGGAGAGGAGGAGGAGGAGGAGGAGGAGGAGGAGGAGGAGGAGGAGGAGGAGGGAGGAGGAGGAGGAGGAGGAGGGGGCGGAGGGGCGGAGGGGGCGGAGGAGGAGGAGGAGGAGGAGGAGGAGGAGGAGGAGGAGGAGGAGGAGGGAGGAGGAGGAGGAGGAGGAGGAGGAGCATCGGACTGTCTTGGCGTTGTGTTTGGGCCATCTTGAGCCGTCCTGGGGGTTTTGGGAGGCCTCGGTGGCCCGGGGGGCGCGTTCACGAGCTCGTGCTGCCATCTGGGGTGATGGGGGGGGCCTTCGAATCAGATTTTGGATTCTGGGGGAGGGGGGAAGGGGGAGGGGGACAGCCAAATGTCTCACACGCCTTTTCGTCCCTGGCAAGCGGGGGCCGGCGGATTTTCCTGCGATCCGATACGGCCCGATGCTTCCATGGCGCTGTTGTGCCTTGAGCAGCCGAGTCGATTCGATTTGGATAGCTGCATGTCGATTTGATCAGTTTTTTTCGACTTGATGCTGACTGATCCTGCCTCTGCTTTTTGATAAGTCTTTTTTTGAAAACTCCCGTCTCAGAATCCCTCGAGCTTTGGACTGTCGCCGCCACGTGCGACATGAGACCAGGCGGCAGAACCACAAACACACACAAGCACACCTTTCGCGGACTTCCGAGACTGATGTTTGTGTGCTCGCTCGCCGTACTCAGGAGAGCAAGGGGGAGGAGGCCGCGAACGAGAAGAAGTCTCTGCTGAGTGATCTGAAGAGTAGTTCAGCCCTGACCAGGGCGTGCACGGTGGGAAACAGCCAGGTGCCCTGGCTGTTCGACGTCCCCGACGGAGAGGCCTCGCTGCGCCACGGAACGTTTGACGATCTCAACATGCTCGCAGACAACCTGCCCAAGTACGACTCCCAGGTGGACAGCATCCTTCACCGCCTGGAGCGCCAGATTATTGAGCTCAACAATGCGCACCCAGAGGGGAAGCCGCCGTCCCAGCTCCAGTTCAAGGTCAAGAGCCAGCGGCAGGAAAGGGGGCTGCTCGATTACATCAAGGACTGGAAGTGGGACGAGGCCAAGTACCCGAAGAAGCGCCTGATGGCCGAGACCTGCCAGTCGCTGATGCACGCTGTCAACAGGCTGGACGACGAGGCCCGAAGCAAGACGAACCAGTACAACGAGTACAAGACGCAGAAGGCCAACATTGACAAGAAGGAGGGCGCGCTGCTCACCGGCGCCGACCTCATCGACGTGCTGACGCCCAGCGTGGTGAAGATGGACGGCCAGGGCAAGAGTGCGAACGACGACTTCATCTACACAGAGCACCTCACGACGGTCACCGTCATCCTGACCAAGGGGGCCGAGCTGGAGTTCCTCAAGACGTACGAGAGCATGACGGACTCCGTGGTCCCGAAGTCGGCCAAGCGGTTCGACCACGACAGCCTGAAGGACAAGGACGGCAACACTCTCTGGCGGGTCGTCCTGTTCAAGGACTGCGCGGAGCCGTTCAAGAAGGCCTGCCGCGAGCGGCGCTACATCACCCGCGACTTCGAGTACAGCGAAGATGCCTACAGCAGGCGCGAGGCCGCGCGGAAGGATCTCGAGGAGAAGGTCCGAAGGAGAAACGACAGCATACACTTACATTTCGGAGGTCCGCGTGGATTTCTTCGGTCGGCGCTAGGCCCCGCTGGAGGCGACTCCAGCTCAGAGGCGGGTCCAGCGCCGATCCAAGCAGTCCGCGCGGGCCTCCGAAAGCTTGTGCTTATGCGGCTTGCTCTTCCTGTGAAGGTCAAGAGAGAATACAGCTTGATCATGAGCCTTTACCAGGCCGCGTGGTCGGACGTGATGGTCGCATGGATGCACATCAAGGCCATGCGCGTGTTCGCGGAGAGCGCCCTGTGGTCGGGCCTGCCGCCTAAGTTCGCGGCCTTCGTCGTCAGCCCCTTGCCCGGTAAGGGTGACGCGGTGCGCAAGGTGCTCGCCAACAAGCTGGGCAAGCTCGGTGGTGCATCCGGCCCTGGGGGCAAGGGCGACGCAGAAGAGGGCGAAGAGGACTTCCCGTACGTCTCGCTCTCGTTCGTCCCCTTCACCGTTCCGAGGTAGGCAGAAGTGGTGACAGCACACGCGGTGACCCCAGGGAGGGAGGGAGGGAGGGAGGGAGGGAGGAGTGGAGGTGGGCGGTGCCCGTACCCCCGACGTCGTTTCTTTCTTTCGTTCTTGTTTTTTTCGCGACGTGGGCCCCCGAGGGCTCCAGGCCCCCATCCCCCGTGGACCGCTTGCTTGCCGCGTTTTTTTTTGGGGGGGGGTCGTGGGGGGCCCAGCGGCGCTCCCCGGATGCAATCGTTCTTGTTGCTTTGTTTTGTCCCAGCCCTCCGTTGATGGTTTTCGTTATGGATCGAGCACTGTGGTTAGCGTCTTCTCCTTCCCGCCTCGCTCCTTCCTTCCTCTCTCTCTCTCTCTCCCTCTCTCTCTTTCTCTCTCTCTCTCTCTCTCCTCTTGTCTTGTACCTCTCGTGCCTGCGTCTGAGCACGCCATCCCTGGGGGCTGTGATCTGCGAAACGGTCGCCACCTTCGAGGGGTGCTGGGGGGGGCCAGCACAGTGGGGCCATACCCAGACTCGGATGCGAAATTGTCGCCAATTTCGAGCGCTGTTGGGGGGAGGTCGCACAGTGGGGCCATACCCAGACTCCGATTAGACCTTGCCACCCCTGGGAAGGCTGTGATCTGCGAACCTGTCGCCACTTTCGAGGGCTGCTGGGGGGGCAGCACAGTGAGGCCACATTCAGACTTATACTGGATCCTGCCAATCACTTCGGGGCTGCGATCTGCGAACCTGTCGCCACTTTCAAGGGCTACTGGGGGGGGGTCGCACAGTGGGGCCGTAATCAGACTCATGTTAGACCTCGACACCCTTAGGAGGCTGCGATCTGCGAAACTGTCGCCAATTTGGAGGGCTCCCTTGGGGGGGGCAGCACAGTGAGGCCACACCCAGACTCATACTCAGATTCGACCTCGCCACCCCTGGGGGCTGCGATCTGCGAGCCTGTCGCCACTTTCGAGGGCTGCTGTGGGGGCCAGCACTGTGGGGCCATGCCCAGACTCAGATTAGACCTCGCCACCCCTGAAGAGCTGCGATCTGCGAACCTGTCACCACTTTCGAGGGCTGCTGGGGGGACCAGGACAGTGGGGCCATAGCCAGACTGAGATTCGCCCTCGCCACCCCTGGCGCTGCGATCTGCGAACCTGTCACCACGTTCGAGAGTTGCTGGGGGGCCAGCACTGTGGGCTCCTACACAGTCTGAGATCAGACCTCGCCACCCCTGAAGAGCTGCGATCTGCGAACCTGTCGCCACTTTCAAGGGCTGCTGGGGAGGCCAGCAGGCCATATCCAGACTGAGCTTAGACCTCGCCACCCCTGGGGCTGCGATCTGCGAACCTGTCTCACGTTCGAGGGCTGCTGCGGGGGCCAGCACAGTGGGGCCATACCTCGACTCAGATTCGACCTCGCCACCACGGGGGGGCTGCGATCTGCGAGCCTGTCGCCACTTTCGAGGGCTGCTGGGGGGTGGGGGGGCAGGCAGCATACTGGGTACCTGCCGAAGACCTAATTTAGACCTTGCCGTTCCCTTTGGGGGATGCGATCTTGGAAAGCGCTGTTATTTTCGAGAGCTGCTGGGGGGGCAGCTCTTTTTCCTTTCGAGCCAGGGACAGTGAATCTCCGCCATCACCCCCTTGTCCATCGATCGGTACCCTGCGAGTCGCGCAGCTAGGTTCGCAACAAAGATAGGGCCTTGCCACGTGATCCCCCCCTGTAAATTCTTCCCAGCTCTTCCGGCCACACGCTGCGCAAGGGTTGGGTACACCGTTTCATGTGTAAATCTGTGGCCCCACAGCTCCCGACCCCTTTCCTGGGGCGGCTTGCGTCCCGGATCTACTTTTGAGGGCCCCAGGCCCGAAACACGCCGAAATGAATGAACAGCGCCGCCGCCGGAAAGGTCATATCCTTGGAGGTCAGGGTCCCTGGAGGTTCACATCCGGACAAGTGCACGACGTTTTTTTCGCGACCCCAGAGGTCTCCAGGTCACCAGTGCCGGCGCGAGATAATAATTTTGGCTTCGCAGCATTTCTCCAAGCGGGCGGCGCGAGGGCGCGAGGTGCGCGGAGGTAGTCGCGCATCGGGGGGTGCGGCGCATCGCGGGGCGAGACGCGTGAGGTGAGGCGGCCTGGAGGTCCGAGGTCAGCTGTTTTCCAATGCGGGCGCCCCAGAAGTCTCGACCCACTCCCAGCGGCTTTTCATCTTGAGCAGTTTTTCGAGTCCCTGGGCCAGCCGAGGGCCTCTAGAGGCCGAGAACGGAGAAAAACTTACGTCTTGGTTTCTTTCGGCTACACGTAGGAGTGACCTTTCGCGGGATTGACCTCTGGTGCGTGTGCACAGGGGGTCCCCCAAAGGTCTCTCTTGCCTGGGGTCACTCTTGCGTGTAGCCGATTTTTGTCAACGCGTTGGATCTCTGGGTCAGGAGGCCTTGAGGTCTGGTTGCCCGGGCCTCGCTTGGAGCAGGGCCGCAGGCGGTGCGCAGGAGTGGGCAAGAGGGCTGGGTGTGGGGGGGGCGGTCTTCTTAGATGGCCCTCTGCCTATGTCGGAGGCCAAAGAAATCCTCCTCATCATCATGAACATCATCATCAGCACCATCATCATCAGCACCATCATCGTCAGTGTCATCCTTCTCACCATCATCACCAAAATCATCATTATCCTCCTCATCATCATTATCATCATCGTCATCATCATCATCATAATCATCATCATCATGATCGTCAGCATTATAGGCAGCAGCATCACCATCACCACCACCATAATCATCCCCACCACCATCATCATCATCATCACCATCATCGTATCATCTCAGTATCTTATCATCTTACCATCAGATCATCTTATCATCTTACCGTTTTTTCGTCTTATCATTTTATCACCATCGTCATTACCATCATCATCGTCATCGTCATCATAATCATACTCATAATCATCACCATCACCATCATCTTCACCATCATCATCATCGTCATCATCAGCAGCATAGTCATCATCGTCATCACCATCATCATCATCATCACCATCATCATCATCATCATCATCATCATCATCATCATCATCATCATTATCATTATCATTATCATAATCATTGTCATTATCATTATCCTTATCCTTATCCTTATCCTTATCATTATCATTATCATTATCATGATCACATTCGTATCGGGGTCAACGCTAGGGGGAGAGTAGGCTCAGGATGGGATTCACCGTCTCCCAATCGCCCATCGATCGCCGATAGGGGCCCGATAGCCCGCCTCGCCACGGAAGGTGGGGACTCGCTATCGGGGTGCTATCGTCGATCTATCGGCGATGCATTGCCGATCCCAGGTCGATGGTCCTCCCCTCGCCCCCCCTAAGTCATTGCCCACCCCAATCCATCCTCCTGAGAAGAAGCCCCAGCCTCTAGGTCAACCGTGGGGGCGCGAATAAAACCGCGCTCCGCGCATCGCGGTCGGGTCAGACAGCTGCTCTTCTCCAGGGAGCTGTGCCAGGGCGCGAAGACAACCGCGCATCGCGCGTCGCACGGCGCGATGCGCGAAGTTAGGTGACCTAGCTGAACGGAGGCCGGTCCCTTCTAAGACCCCCCCGCTTCTGATTTTCTTCCAAGCATTCTCGCGCCGTGAACAAAATCACGACGACAGTTTTTGGCTGGGGCTCTCACCGGGCCCCGGAGCCAGTAAAAGCGGCTCCAAGATGGAACACCTGTCTTAGGGAGGGGATCCAGACTTCGGGGGGGCGACGTGATGAACAAACCGAGATGCCGGATGTCTGGGTTAGATGGCTGTCCCCCTCGCCCCTGCTCTTGTTCCCGGAGGGGGAGGAGGATGAGAACCAGTGCAAACCCAAGACACATCAACGATATTACAACGAACCCTTCCACCAAGTTCCCCTGTCATAGATCACTGACATAATTTCTTTTCATTGCGGGAAGGTGCCCATTAGAAGACAACCGTCTTATACTTTGCAATCTTGCCAAAACAGTGTTTCTGGGACTTCAACACCGCCTATCAGCGTGACCGTTGCGCTTTGGATATATTAAAACGTGCCAGAACACCATTCCTGGGACTAACTCCGCGAATCACTGTGTTTGTTGCGTCCTGACACCTCCCAATCGTGCAAGCACGCAACTCCTTGCACTTTGACCATACGAATCCTTGAACATAGTGCGAAACTTTGAGACGAATGTGCGCGGCGCTAAGGCGCGAATCACAGTTTGAAAAGGAACCGCCCTCCATCCTTGACATTGCAGACTTCTAAGTCGAATGTGCGCGGTGCGGTGCGAAGGCGAGGGCCACATTTGAAATCCACCCGCCCTCCACTGTTGCAAACTTGTAAGGCAGAGCGCGCGGCGCGAAGGCGAGAGCCACATTCGGAAATTCACCCGCCCTCCATGCGTGAAATTGTTGCAAGTTTCAAGCCTCAAGGTAATACGTGGCGAGGAGGTCTCAGGCGAAGCGCCCGGCTCGCCCTACCAACACGTCTGGGGGGCAACAGGAAGGAGTTATTCATAGGGATGGAGGAAGGGGGTGAGGAGGAGGGGGATGATGATGATGATGCTGATGATGATGATGAGGACGATGCTGATGTGGATGAGGATGATGGTGATGATGATAACGATGATGATGGTGATAATGCTGATGATCATGATGGTGACGAGGATTATGATAATGCTGATGATGCTGCTGTTGATGATGATGCTGATGCTGATGCTGCTGCTGATGATGATGATGATGAGGATGATGATGATGATGTTGTTGTTGTCGATGAGGATGATGATGATGATGATGAGGAGGAGGAGGAGGAGGAGGAGGAGGAGGAGGAGGACGGGGAGGATAAGGATGATGATGAGTTGGAGGACGAGGAGGAGGATGAGGAGGAGGAGAAGGACATGACAGGATCTTGCAGCAGACCGTCAGTCAGCATCGATGACACAGCTGGCTCGGTGCATCCACTGTGAGGGTGGCCCACACGAAGCAATTGCTTGCGAGTTTTCTTAAATAGCGAGTTT